TTCATGGACCAACTTATAATTAAAAACCAAAAACTTTGTAGGTGGTAAATCTCTATACAAATTATTTTTATTAGCATCCTGTGGAACAAGAGGTTACAATCACTGCTTGAGCTTCCACTCTTGCAGCTGGATGATCCCAGATGCATTAGGGGTTCAATAGATGTCTTGAGCTATGCCTGAAATGTTTTGGGTTCAAACAAAGAACATTTTGCCAAATCCTTCTTCCCCTTAATTTTTAAACATATGTATTTCAAGGGAAATTTGATTCATATGTTTCTGATTCATTTACACTTAAATCATGAAAATGTTATTTTGTAAAAGCTATTTGATGTCCAAGAAGCTTTCTGAACCTGTTTTATGAGTTTTCTTAAGTCCCTTTTCTTAAAACAGGAAGCTGCATTTTGCCAAGTACAAATAAACTCAAACACTAAAAAGGTTCAAGTTCAGTTTCCAACTCTGAACTCCAGGTTTTAAGTGCATTCTCAATTTAGGAAAATATATTTTTCCCACCCCTACAAAAATATGGGTGGAAGAAAAGACAGTAGTGATAAAACTGGGTAAAGATGTTCATAAGCATTATCCTTCTCAGAGCTATTTCCCTAGTTGTGAAACCATGAACTGTGTTAACAGGTGTTGTTGAAGCCATTAGATACAGGTGAATTGCAAATAAGAACATCTGTCTGCATGTTGATTCTCTAAGATGTGTCTAAATCTGTTTACTGTTTTTGTCACAGAAAACAAAACCTGAAAGTCTTAACATTTTAACTTCATTGTTTTACCTTTGACTGCCTTTAGGTCTTATTTGTTTTAGGAAAGGTGGGAAGAATCAACACAGTTTATTGAACAGAAGGGACTCATTGGAGACCCTGTAGGAGTTTTATGCCTGTACTATGATGATGTTGCATTATCAATTTAAAAATGTAATCGACACCTTTCTTGGAATTGGAAACATTCAGAAAATTATCTCTGGTTCATATTAAGAGGTCTCTTACTTGTTTGTTCCCCTCATTACTTTAAAGCAGAGGTGATTCAGCCTGACCCTTCCAGCTGTTTCACTTGTATAGAAAAAGGAGGCAAAGGAAATTTTAAGAGGGGTTTGGAGTTATTCCAAACAACTTCCTCAATGTTCTGCTTTACTGTATTTCAGTATAATAAAGTACTGTACCTTCAATACAATATACATTATTTCTTCATTACTACTGAGTAATAAAGTGACTCCTGGGATGATAGGTATTATCAAATGAAAATACTGTATTTAAACATTGCTAAACTGTCAGTTCAATGTAGAAGCTCCCATGCAATGACTGGGAACTTGTGGATCATGTAAAGGTAGAATGAATGTCAGTTCAATTTAAACATTGCTAAACTGTCAGTTCAACTGTAGACGCTCCCATGCAGTGACTGGGAACTTGTGGATCATATAAAGGTAGATTTGTTAAGCTTGCTAAGTAAGGGAAAGCAGCACCTTGACAGAGACTCTATCATGTCTCAACTGGGAAAATTTAAGGAAACCTACATGTAGAGCTTGGGGGCTGTTGTTAGTTATAGAGCTGTTTTAGGGCAGAAGTCAGTAAGCGAGGTTTAGGCAGATATTGGTAGAATTTTGTAAATTAGGAAAGTGGTAGGCTTGCCTTTGGAATGTGAGGTCATAAAGAGTTAATGTTAAATCAGTGTCTCTGTGTTCTGGAACATATGGTCTGACAGGAGCTGGTGTTGAAACATTTAAAGTTGTTTGTGGCCAGGTATGGTGGCTCATGCCTATAATCCCAGCACTTTAGGAGGACAAGGCAGGCGAGTCACCTGAGGTCAGACCAGCCTGGCCAACATGGTGAAACCCTGTTTCTACTAAAAATACAAAAAAATTAGCTGCGTGTGGTGGCACACACCTGTAAACCCAGTTACTAGGAAGGCTGAGGTAGGAGAATCGCTTGAATCCAGAATGTAGAGGCTGCAGTGAGCTGAGGTCACACCACTGCACTCCAGCCTGACAGAGTGAGACTCTATCTCAAAAAAAAAATTAAATTAAATTAAATTGGTTTGTATTGTATGTCATGGTTTGATATAATTTACCTGTATTGCAATTCATAATATAGTTTTACGGGTTGTAGTTTTTATTTTACAAAATAAGTAAGTAACATTTATTTATTGAGGGATTTTTTTTTTTTTTGAGATGAAGTTTTGCTCTTGTTGCCCAGGCTGGAATGCAATGGTGCAATCTTAGCTCACCGCAACCTCCGCCTCCTGTGTTCAAGCGATTCTCCTGCCTCAGCCACCCAAGTAGCTGGGATTACAGGCATGTGCCACCGTGGCCGGCTAATTTTTTGTATTTTTACTAGAGACAGGGTTTCATCATGTTGGCCAGGATGGTCTCGATCTCTTGACCTCCTGATCCACCCACCTCGGCCTACCAGAGTGCTGGGATGATAGGCGTGAGCCACCGCGCCCGGCTATTGAGGGATCTTAAATAATTTAAACTGCATCCTATTATCTAAAAAATTATTAAGTAATGAATTTTAATCATACTCTTTTCAGACAATATTCAAAATGTTAAGCATTGCTGGGTACCTATCTGTGTATCTATACCTGTGTTATATACATTATTCTTTTCCTTTACTACTGTGTTTTATTCACTCCGAGAACACATAATACTAACAGTAAAATGTCTTTGAGATTTTATATTGTATTTTGAACAATTCTGTGTTCATCCTAAATGAATATTTAATTGTTTCTACCCCACATTGCCTAGAATTTGTGCTCTCTCAACTACCAGAGCCTAATATGCTACTTAATAGTATCACAAACATTTGGAAGAGTCAAGAATTCCAATGCTGTTCTTAGAATGCTGATTTAAATGTAAAGAGATTTTTCAGAGAAAAAAAAACCTTATATAAGAGAACTCTCAAAATGATAATGTAGTAACCGGGAACTGTTGAAGGTCATATGGAAATCCTTTATTTAAAACAAAAAATTAGAATAAAAGCCTTTCCACACCTGGAAAGTTGACAACGGTCTTCCATAGTAAATCCTAATCTGAAGGCATGTAGAATAGAATAAACCTATCAAAAAGCCTTTCCAAGGGATAGGCGATATTTGCCGTTTTAAAGTTCAATCTTATTTGCTTTTACTGAGATTTATTATTCATTAGATAATGGTCATTGTTAGCCATAGTTTTACATTTAAAATTGCCCTTTGTGATACTTACATTGAAAAGATTCTTATTTTCCACTGGTCTCTAACAAGATGATTTAAAATTCAAATTGAGAGAATCTCCTAATACTCCATCCCTTTGTCTTCTGAGGCCTCATTAAATAATCGTAATAATAGCTCCCATCTACTCAGTATATTCCCTGTGCTGATATTTGGCCAGCATGAGCTCATGAACTCAAAACAATCTCGAGAGCTGTGCAGTTATTGCCTCTGTTCTAACGCAAGCCTAGGCTTCCCTGTGTTAGAACAGAGGCAGTAATTCTGGACTGCATTGCAGCCCCCCACCCATCTGAGGAGGAAGTCCATGCTCTTTCCATTCTGCTGTGCTTCCTTAAGCCAAAGAAATTCATATACACATTGTTTTATATTTTTTGTTCCCTACATTTAATTCTAGATACTATGTGGTCTAAGTTCTAGACAAAAAAATTTGAACTCCACAAAAGCTTTTTGAATGAAAATATTATAACTTTTTACTGCTAGTTATTCAAATAAAGAACTGTCATAGCTCTCAATATCAGAGCTGAAAGAGACAGAAATAATTTCAACTAACCCTCTCAGCGTACTAGGTTCTACTTATGAGGAAGTCAATATGATAGTACGATGTAGAAGAATTTATGAGCCAATAGACAGCTTTTAGAAAATATATTTCCCAATGATTTCAAGCCAATTACTTTCAAGCCAATTACTTTCCCATTTAAACTCAATCAGAAAATGTATTTTGAGGTGGTTGCTTTCCCAGATTTCTATATTTTGAGAGCCAAATAATTATATAACTTCTAAGATGGTATTATAAGTTCCATCTGTCATGACCAGGACATTTGTTTTGCTTTCTGAGACCTAAGCAGAGCATATGGCTGCTCCAGTTTCCTATTTGGGGGGTATTCTCTTAACCTGTGTATGTCCTTTCTCTGTTTTTTTCTCCAGGACTGCCCACCAGAAGCAGGTGACTTCCGAGCTCAGCAATGCTCAGCTCATAATGACGTCAAGCACCATGGCCAGTTTTATGAATGGCTTCCCGTGTCTAATGACCCTGACAACCCATGTTCACTCAAATGCCAAGCCAAAGGAACAGCCCTGGTTGTTGAACTAGCACCTAAGGTCTTAGATGGTACTCGTTGCTATACAGAATCTTTGGATATGTGCATCAGTGGTTTATGCCAGGTAAGTGCTGATTTGTTTTCATTCAACTTGCCCAGAGGGTTTTAGTCTTTGTTTAAGTGGTTTACATCGTCTCACCCTCTGAGTCACTCATATTTACACTTTTTAGAGTTTATAAATTATGAAATATTTGAAAATTAAGATGTGATTTCAGTGAAAAGTACAAGTGTTGTATTGTGTGAAGGAAAAGTGGACTGAGTTATTTTTCTTTCCTTGAGTATCACTTGAATATAAAATATAAAAATTTTTGAGTCATGTTTATCAGTTACGTACTAGACTTTGAAATTACCCCCTAGATTGGCTATTCCTGAAGAGTGTGTGAGTCTGTGTGTGTCTATTTGGAGGCCTTGATTTTCATTTACTCAGAGTTTCAGAGTAAATCAGGTAAGACCAATTCTAAAATCCCCAAGTAAACTGTAGGAGAACTTGTTGCTACTTTACTGTAATTTCAATTATATTGAAAATTCAGACAAACTGTAGAGAAAGTAATGAAAGAGCCAGCTAGGTTGGACTTCAGCCAGTTAAATCTTTAAAACAGGATTACAAAGAGGTTTGATTTCTGGTATCCATCCATTCATCAATGTCTACTTTAAATAGGGAATTAGTAAGGTAAAGAAGAGTTTGTATGCTTGTCATGCCTTTGCCATCTTTATTTTCAGGTCCATTTTTTGGATTAGGATGACCAGTCTAGTTTTTAGAGCCAGCAGTTGCTATTATTTTTCTGTGTGCTATCTTTGACTATATACTTTCATATTTCATGAAGCAGACACAAAATTTTGATAATACTTGCCTTTCCCAATATGATATTAGATGAAATTTTCTTTCTTCAGAATCTGTAATATCGTGGCTAGCAATATAAGAGAAATATAAAATACGTTTTAGTAATTTGTTATTTCAAATTCACGTTTGTTTAAAACTTACATCTATATTTGGATGTAAAGAAAAAACTGTAGTGTAAATTACTTTAAGAGATGTGAGATGTCAGGCAAGGTTTTATGTATACAAGAGAGAAACAGACATACTCAGATGTCATAAGGCTTAAAATCATGAGGCAGAGAAACTGGTCTCAGGAGAACGCAGATAATGAAACGTGTATCTGAAGGTTTCCTTATATACAAAAGATATATGAATTTCAGGTGTAAATTTTAATATGGAATTTTACTATTTTAAAGCTAGAAAGGGCCTTAGAGTTATTCAATCAGCATCCTAAAAAGCAATATATCTGAAAAATCATTTCTGATATTTGTTATTTACTTCCTCCTTTAGGACTCTTAGTGGTATTGAAATGAAATTATAAAATCTGAAAAAGCTTTAGGATTAGCAGAGAATTGTAAAGCAAATAGATTTAGATGGGGGAGCTGTGTTATAGGGAATGGCAAACAAAAAAATAATAACTCCTTCTGTATGTATACTGTTTGAGTAAAGCAAGGAAGATTTCCATTTTAGAAGTGAAAAAACTGAGGACCAGAAAATACGCATGATCTTCATGTATGTTTGGTCATGCCAGAAATGGGACTAAGTTTCAGATCTCCTGAGATTGAGTCCAATGTTATTGCTACTATATTACCCTGCCGAATGAACCAAAATAAACTAGACAGCTCAGCAAATTAGGTCTCATTTGTTTCTGCTGCATGGGAGTTCAATGTGGCATATTTTTCCTAAACTAATCCTGCCAGCTGGCTTCGTGTACCTTTGCAACTAAAAATGAATCTTATCTCAGTTGCTAAAGAATAAATTTCATATATAATAAATATGGAGTGATATCACTGGACTTTGGGTTGCAAGTATAAACATGCTTTAATAGATTCTTATAAGTACAACAGATTTGGGAGTAAATGTAATTTATACCGTATTTGAAAAGCATTGTGACTTATATATAGAAATAATGACTGGTTATTTTTATTATTTTCTTCATTTATTTGTCTTGTGAGAGGCAATCGTGTAGTGAAGGTGATGGAAAAACAGATTGCATTTAAGCACTAACAAGTAATTTAGTTTGGCGGGAGAGCCAGATAAGCTCCAGGTATGCGACAAGAAGAGGGGGGTAGTTTGGGAGAGAATCATGGAGGCTTCAATGGCAGACAGGACTATGGTAAACTGTGGATGACCAAGAAAGAGTTTAATGGTGGAAAAACATAATCAGAGCTCTGCTTTAGAAAGATTATTATAGCTACTCTTGCAAGAAACTTGGAGTGGAAGGCTCTGGAGGGAGACAGCAGCTTCGTTGGAGGCTTTTAGAGTGGCAAGTGATGCAAGGCATGAGCTTGGGCCAGGGCAGTGATAGCAGGAACAGAAGGAAAACCTAGTCTGAAACCAGGAAGGAGTTTTTATTTTTATTATAACTAGGGCAGATGGTAGAAAGCAAAAAATCAAACGTGATCACAGGATCAAAACCTGAAACTTAATATGGATTTGTAAGTGATGTCATGTTGGATTCTTTTTTTTAAAGTCAAGTTTATGAAGGTGTGTATAATTTACACAAAGTAAAATTCATCCTTTTCGTGTACACTTCTGTGAGTCTGGGTGACTTTGACAGCTCTGATTCAGACTATTTTTTACATTCCCTGAACCCCTCCCCACCACCAAATTTTCTCATGCTCCTTTGTAGTCATTTCCTCCCTGCTGCTGGCAACCATCTCCACATATTTGCCTTTTCCAGAACTTCCACGTTGGATACTTTTCTACCACTACCATCACAGCCTGTGTCTTCATGATTAAAACCTACTTATATTTTATAAAACGAGTAGAGAAACAGAGGATAACAAGATGATACAGGAGTAGAGATGGAATACTTACATGCAGTATGTGATCTTTTAAAAGAACAACAGTGAAGATACCAAAAGAAAAGCTGAAAGACACTGCCACCTCAAAAAATAGTTTAAATATATAAATTCCATTCTACTTAGACAAAAATCCTTCATTTAAATTGCACGTATACATTGATGATAAATATTTTCAGTCTTTGGTAATAAAAATTAAGAAAACCCTTATTTTTATATTTTTTAAAACATGTTCAGTAATCTTAAAGCTAAATTTTATTATTATTATTATTATCATTATTATTTGAAATGGAGTCCCACCCAGGCTGGTGTGCAGTGGCATGATCTCAGCTCACTGCAACCTCCGCCTCCCGGGCTGAAGCAATTCTCCTGTCTCAGCCTCTGGAGTAGCTGGGATTATGGGCGCATGCCACCACACCTAAATAATTTTTGTATTTTTAGTAGAGACAGAGTTTCACCATGTTGGCCAGACTGGTCTCAAACTCCTGACCTCATGTGATCCACCTGCAATTGTGCTGTTTTCATAAATGGCTTCTCTTAATTTCCTAAAGAAATCATTTCCCGTGTCAGATTTTTCCCTTTTCTTCCTTGTCTAACCTGTTTGTTAGGGATTCTTAGTTTTTTCTCTTGTTTTATTTTTGTCTTATTATAATTTGTTTGGGTGAGCTGCTTCAAATATTTTTGAGCATAGGCAGATATAAATCATAAGTAAACAAATCATACAAGTAAACAAATGTTTGGATTTAGACATAGTCCTGCCTTGATAGAAAATGGCAGCATAGCTATAGAAATTTGTCATTCATATGCACTAATCTTTATTTCAAGTACACCTGTTTAATACTCTACAAAGAGCCACATTCTCATGACTCTTTGAGTCTTTAACTCTTAAATAGAATATTTGAGTCCTGAACTTTCTAGAGCCAGAAGGTAGCTTAGCAGTTCACAGATACTGCTGTTTCACAGAGGAGGAAACGGAGACCTGGAGACTGTCCTGAGATCACAAATAATTTGGGTGACCTGTATTTATTGTAAATTTGCTTCAGGAAAATTCTAGAATCATTGCTATTTATAATACATTCCTAATTCTTACTCTGTAATAGTAGAGCATCTAACAAGGCAGTAATAGCAAAGATAATAGCTTCCATTTTTGAGTGACTACCATATCTAGGTACTTTTTTTCAAATATTTACAATTCTGCATATTAGACATTATTATCCTTATTTCACAGATAAAGAAACTGGAGGCTCAGGTAGATTTTATATCTTTCCCAGAGATTCCCAGTTCTGTCTGACTTCAAAATTCCTATTCCTTCTGGTGAGGCCAGGTAGACAGAGGCTCCAATCATTTGGAAGTTGTCCCCAAATTTGGCTACCTATCAGAATCACCTGGAGAGCTCTTAAAAGACTCAATTCTTAGGGCTTGTCTTCCAGAAATTCAGATTTATTAATTCTATGTATTGAAAACACTTTCCTTATCATTCTATTACAGCCAGATTCACTTACAGATTGGAAAGCAGACAGAATAATCTGGGCACTTTGGTAGGCTGAGGTGGGCGGATCACCTGAGGTCAGGAGTTCAAGACCTGCCTGGCCAACATGGCAAAACCCTGTCTCTACTAAAAATACAAAAATTAGCCAGGCATGCTGCCTGGTGCCTATAGTCGCAGCTACTTGGGAGGCTGAGGTGGGGAGAATGGCTTGAACTGCAGAGGCAGAGGTTGCAGTGATCTGAGATGCACCACTGCACTCCAGCCTGGGCGACAGAGCAAGATTCCATCTCAAAATAAAAATAAGTAAATAAAAATAAGACATTAGTTGGAATTTAGCTCTTCTTTAACAAACTGTGTAATCTTGGTCAAGTTACTCACCCTCCCCAAGCTCTATTTTTTAATCTGTGCAAAATGGATCATCTCCCAGACCATAGTGTACCAAGTGAGATAATACATGTGAAAATATTTAATAAACTGTAAAGTGCTGTAGAAATGCATAAGACTCTGAAAATTTTGAGTTGGAAATAATATTAAATTAGCGGTTCTCTGTATAAGATTTTATAACCCTGTAACATTTCAAAAACTTTCCAGAATGTGATAAAGTAACAAACTTCTTAATTGGTTAGGTAATGACTTTCAAAAAACAAAGAGACCTTCCACCATGTACTTTCCCCATCATCACTTCACAATCGAAACGTTCATAACAAGAAAGTGGTAAGAACCTAATTTCAGAA